TTTCCTGTTTAAGTTTGCAAGCCATAGAAGCCGCTGCTCCTTGTCAACAGGAAAACGAACCTACTTCAAGAGTCCACAGCCACAAAAACTCCGCGTCTGGTGATGTACATGGCACATTTCTTCCGACAACATTTTCCTTTTTCTATAGTTGTTACTGAACCCCAAAACAGCGCAGTGGTTTCCTGGTGAGCAATTTTCGACTGTCATAGTAACGAAGAAAATTCACAGGTTAGCCTAATACACGGCAGATTACTCAATAACGCCATACATATCAGCATCAACACACACTCCAAGCCATCGCCCGCATGTTAGAGAGGAGGAATGCATTGGTTGCCAGACAGGACCTCTTCGCCCGATTCAAAGGTGAATAAAAGATTGTTGAAGTTTATTTCGTAACGAATTCGAGCATATGCCAATACAGAGGTTCAACGAGAAGGGATGGCACGAAAAGGGGCAATGCGCCATTCCCGCCCAGACACAATATCGTACATCACTCACCATGTCTATTTAAATAATGTATAAGCAAAATTGGAGCCTTAGGCTGGAAAAATTTTGAGCAAGAGATCAAAGAAAGCCTTCATTGAAAATAAGAGAGGCACAGCCGATAGGGGGCTCCGCAATGCGTCGAGTGCCTATTCCGGGACACCATAAGTATCAGCCGCTAGCTTAACCCTCTAGACGAAGGCCTTTTGGGCTTGGAAGTCCGAGCAAACAAGCAGGGCCGCCTCACCTTCTCCTCTTCTCGCGTTGCGTTAGGGTTGGAGAGAAGAGCTCAGTTGAGCTGGCAAGCCGAAACCATGTGGTATGTGCGTTCCACCTCCTCACAGCATTGACACTTGCCAGGTAACGAAGAATCGAAATGTTTCAAGGCAACCTCTCGGCCTTCTATTAAATTTGCTCTCTCTGTATAGAAAATTGAAAGAAGATGCGTCATTGAGCCTTGCCGAGCCGGTTTGCACGAAGAGGGTATTGACAATACCTATCTCCGGTTATAAAAAGTGATGCCATTCAATCTAAAAAGCCACCTTCGGGTTCGAGCTACTCGGGATCACGCCCAGTGAATGAGTACTCTGGCCGTCGTGTTCTCGGCTTCATTCCTTTTTGCGCCTTGGTGTCTTGGAGTTCAGACTAGGCTACAGGTAGCAGGATCAATTTGCCTGTAGCTATAGTTGTGGAATATTCTTTCTGCTAGCCCGTGACCTAACCAGCCTCACAATTATGAAAATCCTCCCCAACCCCTATGAATTTCTTATGATACGCTAAGGTCAAGGATCAGAGGCAGTGAGGTCAATAGCTTCTGTTGAGCGCCGTGTTTTGAAAGTGAGTTCATCTTCTTGCTTCTGCTCGTTGATGACGTCCATGAGAAAAAACGCTGCCACATACCACAACGAGCTGGATAGAATGACTATACCCACATAGAAGTAAGATCACTAAACATATATTTCCCCGTGCGTGAACGTGTTTTCACCTTTGAGAGCGATGGTTCCACCATTTAGAAGTGGCAAGTCGACGTACTGTGCTCAAGCGCTGTGGAAGTGTGTCTTCAAGGCGCAGCCATGATAGTGTTCGGAAAACAACACACTCACCCAAGGAGCTAGCGCGAAGTACATTATTTTAACGCGTTCGAGGTGCAAACCGCACTGTGTGCCTTTTGCATTTGTAAAGACACTGCGAAGTTGAATCAAGTTTCTCGGAGACAAGGATCACCATTCACTCCATTGATATGCGTTGAATATTTATTGCAATCTCCGCTGCTAATTTAGTTTTTTCCTTTTATTGCTTATTGATAGCCCCACCGCGGTGGTTTAGTGGTCAAGGTACTCGGATGTTGAAACGTAGGTCGCGGGATCGAATCACGGCTAGAGCGGCTGCATTTTCGATGGAGACGAAAATGCTGTAGGCTCGTGTGCTCAGATTTGGGCGCACGTTAACGAACCCCAGGTGGACAAAATTTCCGGAGGCGTTCAATACGTTGTCTCTTATAATCTTATGGTGGTTTTTGGGACGTTAAACTCCACACATCAATCAATCAATCAATCAATCAATCAATCAATCAATATATGTAGATCCATAGTCGAAAAAGGCCAAGCCAACGCAGTTCTGGACACAGTATGTTTTCAGTATGTTTTCTTGTGCGTTGAGTGGTCCTTTTCAGTGCACGGAGCACTAGCTTAGCCACAATATTTTGTCATAAGGGGCAGGGAAGAGGCGTATACTGTCCCCGTATGTCCTGAAAGTGAGTCTTTCTAGAATCCACGGTCCTCAATTAACAGCACACAAAATAATTGACTATTACAGTTAGAGTACAGCATTAGGCGTGTTTCGTTTAGAGCAACGGTACAAAATTAGGTATCAACGTTGATTTCGAAAGACCTCTTGGGTGAAGTTCAAAAGTATTTAAAAATGTTTGTACAGTTTTTATGGCTTAAAACATAAATAAAAACACAATCAATTTCTTGCCGGATCTCTAGCTGATCCCGTCCCAACAAACATTGAAGAGAGACTTGAGAGGCTATGTAGCTAGACAGCGAGGCAGGAGAGTGCGTCACTGCACCCTCACTAGTGCAAGATATATATATATATATACATACATATATATATATATATATATATATATATATATATATATATATATAGATATATATATATATATATATATATATATATATATATATATATATATATATATATATATATATATATATATATATATATATATATATATATATAGTTGATGTCTATCGGTCGTCCTGTGAACATTTTTCTTTGTCCCTGTTGTAGCTCCACTTCCAAAATGTATCCAAGTCAAAGCCAACCAGCTGAAATTTCAAACTTCATTGTACTTAAAGCCAGCCTGAGGTTTACATTGCCACACGAGGACGTAAAGTATCAAGATTGTAGAAAAGTAACCAATAACCGCAACACTGGGCGGACCTATTTATCTACATATAATGGTCATCTTTATTACCATATATAGCAAACATCGCTCTTGCAGCGCCATGGCTATCCCATAAGCTTGAAAGGGTGGAATAAAGGTGACCGAACATTATTGTACGCATATACACGATAACATTCGTAGAGATGGTACGTCGGGCGCATCCACCAAGCTATGCAGGAACCAGTACTTTTTCGCAAGAAGCCGAGCACGAGCTCCAAAACCGGCAACACGCTGAATTCATTCTGCGAGTCCATTCGTCGTGAAATCGTGTGATACACTAGTGAGTCATGGCAGCAGAGATGAGTGGAAGTCAATTCTGCTCTAAGAGATTCTCGCGGAAACCGGATGATACATTATGCACGCATGCCGGGGAAGTGCTGCGTACAGTTTCATATTACAGGGATGGCTCTGTGGACGTCGAAATATGGTACAGTGAGGTATGCGTCATTATCTACCGCTGATGCAGAAGAAAAAGAACAAAAAGTGAGCAGAGAGGTCGCTCCTTTGAGGCGTACTTAAAGTGATTGACAACGTAATAATCAAGAAGTTTTCCTGTACAGTACCTATTGCACAACGTCATTGTTATTTTGAGCCTTAGGTCAGCAGATGTTTATGCTCACGCCACCTCCTCACACATAATTCAACGCACTACCGCTGATGCACTTGCTCAGTGTTCATTATTCTGAGGCACGAGTTATGGAGGAAGGGAAGTGCCATGACATCGCCCCTGCAATTCCTTTCTCTGGAAGATCTTGGTTAAAACAACAGCGGCTCAGGAGGTTGTACAACATCTCCACGAAGTGAATGATGATGAGTGGGTGAAGCTATAGGACCTAAGGTCCATATTGTCTTCGTTAAAGTCGCTGACTAGTATAAAGCGTCTGTGCTTGTTGGAGTTTATTATTGTTCTTCATTATTGTATTTTTTGTTTTTACTCATATGCATACATGTGTCACCCAGAGCAACAGTTTTCTAACCAGCCTGCCAGCAGACAATGAGCGTCGAAGGGAAATCTAGATTCCAAAGTACGTGATGTATACGTTGATTTCACTGACTAGTATAAAAGCTTTGTGTTTCTAGGTGTTTTATATTGTTCCGTTCAGTTGGATTTTCTTTAAACCTTTTGTTAATGGCGCAGGTGGGTTTTTTGACTGCCATGTCGAAGGCGTCATGATATAAGTATGAACGCATGAACATCGACATATGCCGGAGAAGCATATGGGCACTAAACAGCATCACCCCTAATTTCACGAGTCAGTAATCTCTTTCAATAATTGACTGCAGCCAGTGATATGCGATACTTGAAAGTGTGAGATCAAATAGCGCCAAGCAAAGCACCGATTACTCGATATGCTGATGTTAAAGAGCATTGGCACCGTGGTCTAAAAAGCCATTTATGCGCTAATGGACTCATCAGTCGACTCCCTCAGACTAACTTAAACTAAGATCGAGGCGTGAGTATGAGTCTGAGGAAATCCAAGTCAGGAAACTTGTGGCGAGTTTAAGTCCGAGTGAGTGAAGTTGAGAAGAACTGAGTGAGCCTGAGTCCGAGTGAGTTAAGTTGAGAAAAATTTCAGGTGAGTCTGTGTACGAGTGAGTTAAAAGGTCAAATTGTATTTCTTGGGGAAGTCTGAGTGAGCTCCACATTTTCTCAACCTGTTCCAGTACTTGTCGTATATGTTCCTAATTTGTATGACTTAGATGAATGTTACCAGTTGACATTCACTGATGACCATTGAAGTTTGACTCGAAGCCTTGAGAGAATAGTCGGTGAACCAGAAATTGATTGTCGCGGTCATATGACCGAAACAAAGGTTAAAATGAATTAGTTTTATTATATTTGGTGATTAGTTAATTTCGGACAAACTTGTATTGTGTGGTTCGAGGTCTAACAGCGCATAAGTAAAAGTTGTCGCCTTGACGTGAGCAGTGATGTGAATGGCTTTGTGCAACCACTGTGACAAAAGAGGGTTATACATAAGGGTTTTAAGAAGTAAATAAATTCACCTTGGTACTAGCAGTCGGAGTTTCAGCGATGAATAAAAAGGGCACCACAACTCACCTTGTCCTCACCCTCGAAGATCACGCCATCTTCAGTGAATTCGGCGATGTTCTCCTTTACGCGTACCTTCCCGCTGATTATGAGGCTCGGCAGTACGTCATTGGTGGTCGGGTGTTGCGAGTAGTAGCGGTGTTTGGGCTTGATTCCGTAAGCCTCGTGGTTGAAGAACCCGTTCAAGATGTTCTCCGTGTAGCTGTTGGCCAGCGATCTCGGTAACCAGCTCAACAAGTATGCCCTGAGTCGCGATTTCATGAACATGTCGCCGGGCATGCCATTGGGCCTGACACGCCGGGTAACCCAAGCTCCTCTTCTTGTTGACAGATACGTCTGCGGGAATTCGATAATAAAGCAGTGGGGAAATGTAGGTTCGATTTCGCGTGTATACATTGACATAGTATGGAGGAGGCTCTGCGCCGAACCTTCACCCTTCGACTCTCATCAAGTCTCTATGGTACCGTGCCATATCAAATATGCGTGCTACTCGAAGTACAAGTTGCTTATCTTAGCAACAGGCAAGCTTGCATCAGCGAGCTTATATTATAGCACCTCAAGAGTGCTGCGAGACGCATCGACTATTTCGTGAGAGTGTGGATTCGCAGTGCTGAAACAGGGGTGTTATGAGAAGGCTAAGCAAATGCCCCTCAGGGTTGGTTTCAAATTTCGGCTTGTTGTCGACCTCGCCATTTTGTCAAGTTGTCATCTCGGCATGATCGGTTCACTACGCGATACTTAGGCTGCTCGGACCAACAAAATTCAAGAATGTAACATTACGACGCCATTCAAAATTGCCGACATTAGTTCTCTGGGTTATCTAGAGTATGACCGAATGGACATCGCAGAGAGATGTATGCGTCACGCTTACCTTGACTGCCACCTGGCTGATATCGGCCACAGCATCACAGCCCGAGTTGCCAATGCCGACAACGGCCACCCGGTCATTCCGGAAGCTGTCGGCGTTCTTCAGGCTGTGCGTGTGCATGATTCGGCCGCGAAACTTCTCCTGTCCCTTGAAGTGGGGCACATTCGGATACACGTGATGGCCCACGCACACGGCCACGGCGTCGAACGTCTCCATGCGGTCGCTGTTGGTCGCCAGATCCCTGAAGAGCACGTCCCAGCGACCCGTATTCTCGTAGTCGGCGGCTGGCATCACCTGCACCACGTCGTGCCTCGTTTGCACATGCTTGGTGACGCTGAAGTGGTCGGCGTAGTTCCGGAAGTAGTCTAGCATGTCGGTGTCGTGCATGTAGTTGGGGAGCTCTTTGGGCAGTGGCAAGTCACTGCGTAACAAAGAAGTTTGCGCGAAGAAAGTTATACCTGACAGGACAGGACCTTCATGTAGATCATGGTTTAAAAAAATTTGCTATATCCACAGGATAAGCGTAATTATATGTAGTCAGAGGGGCAGATGCTCTTGCTCTTTTTTTCAAGTGCGTCTTTTTGCAAATTCTTTTGCAGTGAATAGAGGACTATGCATAGTGGGCTAAGCAATGAATCTGTTTATAACGTGGCATGGTTGCCGAATTTTCGTGTTTCGCAAGTTTTAATCAAGGTTGTTCCCTACTTAATCCATTTTTCTGTTCGTTACCTTGAATTTATATGAGCGTAAGCTGTACAAATATAGTTAAAAACGGGTTTGTTATTCTGTGAGAGAGATATAATATTAATAAATGATAAAGTTTAACGTCCCCAAACCACGACATGATTACGAAAGACGTCAAGGTGAAGGGCTTCAAAAATTTCTACTATCTGTGGTCCTTTAACGTGCACCTATGTTTACGTACACGAGATTCAAGCATTTTCGCCTCTCCCAATAATTAGGTTGCCACGGTCGGGATTCAGTCCCGCGGCCTGCAGTTAAAAACAGGCACAACACTCTAAAAAGTACATTAGTGGGTGTCTTTTTGTCCCACGACAATGACTGTCATCTATCTTACTTGCGATTCCTTTCTTGAAAACTCGGCTCTGGACAATTTTTTGATGATGGACTAATATGTGGGGTATAACGTGCCAAAACCACCATATGATTATGAGAGACGCTGTATAGCGGAGGGCTCCGGAAATTTCGACCACCTGGGGTTCTTTAACGTGCGCCCAAATCTGAGCACACGGACCTACAACGTTTCCGCCTCCATTGTAAATGCAGCCGGCGCAGCCGGGATTCGATTCCGCGACATGCGGGTCAGCAGCCAAGTACCTTAGCCACTAGACCGCCGCGATGGGGTTCTGACCAATTTCCTGCCAAGAATGTTATGCCACACTGATAACGCACAGGTCATGCATGACCTTGAAGTGCGGGAACGTGGTGATAATGCGAGGAAAAGAACGCAAAATATATGACAATTATTGTGGGATAGAACGATGCCCTATGTACTCAACCTTTGTTTTTTAATGAAACCTATTGGTTCGAAATAAGAAGTAGCTCAAGAACTTTTCATGAAAACAAATGGCCGGCGGGCGGTGTGTGACAATGATCCTGCACACCTATTTTATTGAACTGAAAGAGTGGGAGGAAGAGAGGTTTTGAGTGATACCTCATATATATATATATATATATATATATATATGAAGAGTAGGGAAGGAAGTGTATACTTAAGTGCTCGTTTTTTTCCTTTTATGCACAATAATAATAAGATTTAACAGACAATAATGCAAGGAAAGTATAGGGAAAGTTATTAGACCTTCTTGTAATGTAAATGTTTGGAACGAAAAAAATGGATGAAAAGATAACTTGTCGTGGGCCTCAACTGAACCAAGGACCTTTGAATAACGCGTTATATGCTCTACAAACTGAGCTACCACGACTGCTATCACCCAATACACTTCATTGGAAATAAATGTGAATGAAACCTGGGAGTGTCAGTGCCAGCCGCAGTCAGGATGGCGACTGTGAAACACTCTTTAGGAGCCCGTTTTACGTAGTACGTGAAATTATTGCGAGCTGGCAGCTGACTAATAATCCCTCGTAAACTATCTAGAGGCACAAAATCTGCCAGAGCGAGACCCTCCTTGAGGAATGACGGAAGGAAGTGTTTACTTGAGGGCTCGTTTTTTCTTTGTAAACACAATAATATTGAGATCTAACAGACAACAATCCAAGGAGAGTATAGGGGAAGTTACCAAACCTCATTGTAAAGTAAATTTAGAGAAAGAAAACTGAAAGAAAAGATAACTTGTCTTCGGCAGGAATTAAAGCTGCGGCCTTCGAGTAACGCGTTCGAATAATGCAAGTCCGGTACCTGCACTTGGCGAGTAATCTCTTCATCTTCTTTTCTTTCTTCACATCTACATTGAAATTTGGTGTAATATTTTCTCTTACACTTTTCTTGCATGATTGCCTGATAGATGTCATAATTTATATATATATATATATATATATATATATATATAATTATGACGTCTGGGTTGAGGCAGCGTTTATTTAGGTCAAGGGATCAGCAGTGAACGGGCAGCCTGAGACACAGCGCACACACACACGATGATGATTGTGGTGACACCCAATGAAGATGAGGACACCGACCCAGACGGATTATGATGATTATGATCATGCATATATGAGAAAAAGTGCATAACGAATGCATACAGTAATTCCCCTCACATCAAAGCGGCCAACCTGGCTGTAGCAAGTAAATGTGAAAGAGAACGTTGCCTGAAACGTTACATATGATTCACGTGCTCGATCTCTGTGCTGTGGTGACGGTGGTCTGTTGGGACAAGTAGGGTCACATGAAAGTTGACGGTAGAATTCTGCTCAATAACTACGTAAAGCCCAATAAATTGTGGCTGAAACTTGTCACACAGACCAAGTGTACGAATAGGTGGGAACAGGAGCACCTCGTCACCAGGTCGGAAAAGTACAAGGCGATGAGATGCAGTATAAATGACTTTTCGATTTCGCTGTCGCGCTTCCGTGTTGATGCGAGCATGATTGCTACACAGGGCTAGTCTTGAAATGTATTCTTCGCTGGAAGACGGAGACGAGTTGATGTCGGTGTTGGAAAAGGAAACATCGAGGAAGAAAGTAGAGGAACGGCTATAAACTAGGTAGAACGGCGAATATCTGGTGGTGCGCTAACGGCCGTGTTGTTTAGGCAAAGGTGAGAAACGGGAGAAAGCTATCCCAGTTGTGGTCTAGACTGATGTAGACGGCTATCATATCAGCAAGAGCACGGTGAAATCTCTTGGTGAGACCGTTGGTCTGAGGGTAGTAGCTTGAAGCTGTCTTGTGTGTGATTCCAGAGGCCCGCAATACTTCATTTTGTACTTCTGAGAGGAACACCCTTCCACGTTCAGTAAGCAATATACGAGGAGCGCCGTGGCGCAGAATGATGGCGTGCAGAACAAAGTCGGCAACTTCTCAAGAAGAAGCACTTGACACAGACATTGCCTCTACGTAGTGTGCCAGGTGGTCTACGGTGGTCACTATCCATCGTTTGCCAGTAGATGTGACGGGAAGAGGGCCGTAAAGGTCAATACCTACAACCTCATATGGCGTTATGGGGCACGGAATTGTCCGCAGAGGCCCGGCCGGTGCAGATGTCTGTATTTTACGACGTTGGCATGGGACACAGGAACCGACGAAGCGCGCGATGCTAGTAGAAATAGCAGGCTGGTAGAAGCGACTTGGAATGCACTCATGAGTTTTTTGAAAACCGAGATGGCCGGCATTCAATTCATCGTGTAAGGCTTTAAGCGCGTCCAGTCAAAGAGAGCGTGGGAGAACGGGAACCTAGCGTTGATTATCAGGGTGGTAGATATGACGGTACAGAACTCCATTTTCCAGCTTAAATCGCATAAGTTGGCAACGATGCCATGCGTTAGGTGGATGGGAAGCTCCTGAGAGCACGTCCATAATACGCCCACAGTACGGATCAGACAACTGGCAGGATTGAAGTGTGCGCTTGTTGTCCGAGAATAGCTGGTCTACTGAGGCAAGCGCGGGTGCTGTGGTAGATTGATGGCTGAACTTTGACCGATGCTGAGCTGGGTATGCGGTAACGGACAGCGCGAAAGGGCGTCGGCGTCTTGGTGTTTTTTACCAGACTTATAAATTATATCGAAGTCATACTCCTGTAAACGTAGAATCCACCAACCCAAATAAGCGTCCAGACAAGTTCTTCAACGTGGAAAGCCAGCATTAGGCGTGCACCCGTAACAATCGTGAAATGACGGCCGTGGAGATAGGTACGGAACTTTTACACTGACAAGACCACCGCCAAACACTTTTGCTCAGTTATGGTAAAGTTCTTCTCGGTCTCAGTTAGTACTCTACTGGCATATGCAAGTACTTTCTTTTGTGAACAGGTGTCGCGTTGGAGCAGAATGGCACCAAAAGCGCTGTCACTTGCGTGCCCATGAAGGAAGTTCGGTGCGGCCATCCTACGTGAAAGTGGCGGAGTACAAATTCAGACGTGAGGACACAATTTAACAGGTCGAATGCCGTTTGACATCCTTCTGACCACAGAAAGGGCTCGTCAAAAGAAAGAAGCTGGTGGAGTGGAGCCGCTATTGATGCGAAGTTCCGTATAAAACGGGTAAATAGGAGGCGAGACCAAGAAAACTCAACTTCTTTGGCCTTTCGTGCGAGGAAAGCGAAGCACCGCAGCTATTTTGTCCGGATCCGGCCAAATTCCGTCTTTGGTCATGGCGTGGCCTCAAACCTTAATAACTTTTGTGGCTAAACGGCATTTTTTTGGTGTTGAGTTTGAGGCCAGCGGTGGCAAGGCACGTCAGAACGTCAATCAAAACGTTGCAGGTGCTGAGAAACGTTAAGGAAAAAATAACGATGTCGTCGAAGTAGCACAGACAGGTCTTCCATTTGAGACCACGTAGCACGGTATCAATCATGCGCTCAAAAGTAGCGGGCGCCTTGTACAGCCAGAAAGCCATAACGCTGAATTCGTATAGCCCATCGGGGGTTGCGGATGCCGTTTTCTCTTTATCGTTTTCGTGCATAAGACTTTGCCAATATCCGGAACGCAGGTCGAGACTGGAAAAGTATTTTGCGCCTTGTATAGAATCAAGGGCGTCGTCAATGTGTGGCATTGGGTAGAGATCCTTGCGAGTGATCTTGTTGAGTACCCTGTAATCGATGCAAAAGCGCACATAGCCATCTTTCTTACGAACCAGAAACACAGGCGACGACCAAGGACTATAAGAGGGGCGAATTACTTCTCGTTGGGGCATGTCAGCTGCGTTTTCTTCGATAATGTTTCTCTCAGCAGGAGACACGTGGTAGGGCCGGCGGCGTACAACAGATGTTCCGACTGTGTGCAATAAA